ATGGGGATAGCTTGAGGCTCCGTCTCAAAAAAAAAAAGAAAGGTGAAGGGTCTGTGGAAGTAATTGTCTTTCTATTTTTTTCCCTTTTCTTTTATTTTCCTTCTCTCAATTTCCCTAATGCCTGAGGCTCCTGACCACCATAAAGAAAGACAGAGCTAGGGCATTTTCCTTATCACTTCTGAAGCTGATGGAATGGTATTTATTGCTTCCACTTAAGTTCCAGAATCTCAAGATTGCTGCTTAACCAGTTCTTTATTTAGCGAGTAGAATTTTTATTGTCCTGGATATCCGATATGCTACTGGGGCTGCCAAGGAGGGCTAATTTAACATTTAGGTGGAGAGAAAACATGTTTTTAAAGGAACTGGTCATTTAGGAAGATCATACAGATGCAAAAAGGGAAAAAAAGAAAAAGAAAGAAAGAAATCATGAGCATCTTGAAGGCGGAGAACACTCTTGCTTTTGTTTGGCTGTTTGTTAGGAACACAGTTGGGCCCAGTCAGGTGTCTTAGGAAATGAGGTGTCTCACCCCATGGCGGTGCTGAACAACTTCAATTTTACTTTAAGATAAAATTTTGCAATAAAAAAGGGTAGTAGTTTTATTTTGTTTTTGTTTTCTAGGAAGGAGTAGGATTCAAGTAAGATACTCATGAATCGGACACCCATGCCTTAAAGTCTTTTTGAAGGAAATAGTTAACATCCAATCAGTAATTTAAGCCATAAAGAGGGATGTAAAAACAGATGAAGACGTGTACGTGAAAAAATAAATTCAACTCTGAAAATGTTTAAAAAACAAAATCTATGAGTAGCAGACTTACTAGGTAAACAAAAGAAACCAGATTTAGAAGGGAGATCACATCTGGGACCGAAAAGAAAAAGAACATTGGAACCAGTTACCATGATCGCTTAACTTAGTGCACAGAAGATAAGAGAAACACATAATACGCTATTATTTAACCTCGGAACTTCTACTAACTGCATTAACTTTTACTCTTTAGACTAAATATTGATGAAAATAATTTCAAAACTGTATAGTGTTCACAAATACAAAATATACATACCTGACAAAATACCTGAAAATGGATCTAGTGTTACCCTTAGATATTTTTCCCCATGGTGTCTTTATAACTGTTGCACAGTGGCTCACACCTGTTATTTCAGCACTCTGGGAGGCTGAGGCAGGCGGATTGCCTGAGCTCATGAGTTCGAGACCAGCCTGAGCTAGAGCGAGACCCCGTCTCTAAAAAATAGCCAGGCGTTGTGGCGGGCGCCTTTAGACTCAGCTATTCAAGAGGCTGAGGCAAGAGGATCACTTGACCCAAAGAGTTTGAGGTTGCTGTGAGCTATGATGCCACAGCACTCAACCGAGGGCAACAGTGTGAGACTCTGTCTCAAAAAAAAAAAATTTGCATTGGAAGTCAAAGTTTGACTTTTTATTTGGACTTTGCAGTTTATGTACCTTTAAAGGCACATAGAGATGCTCACGTGGAAACTGTGAGCATTCGTTCTGTCAAATCCTCTTTATTCTTCTGCTTCCTTTGTGTCACTTTCTTATCTGCAGTAGATTTAAAGTGGCTGCATGTTCTGTCAAGAAGCCAAAACTATTGTCCCACCCCTACAATGTGGGCCAGCAAAGTAGATTGGCTGGCCCAGGAGGATGCGGCAGAAGCCTTCAAGCAGCTTCCTTTCTTGCCCCTTGAAATACTGCACCTGGGGTGGGGCCTGCACCGGGCTCCTTGAGGATGTGTGTGCACAGAGGGTGTGAGAGCCAGCTCCACTGGCCGAGTGAAGAAGGCCTGCTTGGCTGGTCTGTTCCAAGCGGGACAGTCAGGTGGCACAGCTGGAGGGGTGACCCCACACCCAGGTCTGTCCACTTTACCTGCTGCCCAAACTGCTTACGGGCAAAATAAGCTCATTCCCTCTCCCACAGACTCCCAGCACCTGAGGACCACCACCACCTTGTATCACTGTCATCTTCTGCTCTCTTCTTAAACATCCCACATTTCTTTGATGATCTTTGCTCCTCTGACGCAGTTTCCATGGTTTTCTGACCTTATGTTTACCTGGTCACTCTCCTATGGACGTATTCCAGCTTCCTGAGTTTCTCTCTAAAATGTGTGGCACCCAGAACGGAAAACAGTGTTTCAAAGACAGTTTGTTTCTTTCAAACCTTAGTGTCTTCATTCTTGTTTTCCCCTAAAGTCCCGGGCTCCTTACGAGCCCTCAAGCCCTGGCTTCTTCCTTCTCTTACCTGCCATGCTCTCAACCCTCCCCCAGGGGCAGCAGTTCTCTCACCTCCCCAGTTACTTACTGGCCCTAAGTTCCCTCAGCCCCTCTTGCTACAGGGTGTGTGGGGGGTCTGGCTCCTTGGCTAGGCTATGAATTCCTTGAAAGCAGCTACTTTATTTTGTAGCTTAACACTTCACAGAGCACTTGGCACATGTTAAGTGCTCAATAAGTGTTTAATGGGCTGGATAATTAACTAATTAATATTCTTTGGGTATTGAAATACATTACCTTCTGATCCACATTTTCTCACAAGACTATCAAGAAAGACTGTCAGATTCCTGTTAAATCAAGATATGTTCTTTGAATTTCTCTGTTTACCACCA